TGAGTTGAGTTGAGTTGAGTTGAGTTGAGTTGAGTTGAGTTGAGTTGAGTTGGGTTGAGTTGAGTTGAGTTGAGTTGAGTTGGGTTGAGTTGAGTTGAGTTGAGTTGAGTTGAGTTGAGTTGAGTTGAGTTGTATCACAAAAAACTTTTCAAGAACGCCATATTTTATAATTTGGTTAAAAATGCTCTCTCTCATCTCAGCTGTCGATTCTTAAATGCCTCATCTTAACATTTTCTCAATATATTTTCAGTTGAGATAGGTCGTTCTTCAAAAATTTTTAAGTTAGGGCGTTTTTTAATCAAATTTTAAAATAGTTCGTTCTTCAACCAAATTCTGATGTAAGGCGTTCTCGAAAAGTTTCCTGAGGCAGGGCGTTGAAATTTACCGTTATATATAAAGTGGGTGTAATTTTGGTCCGATTTGATGTGGTTCGAACGGTTACCGAGATAAAAATATGTGGTCATAAGAGGACGGTGCCATCCGATTTTCCAAAATTTTATTATAAACGTATTTTGTGCTAAAGAATTATTGCAAATATCAATTTTGAATAAATTAACTGATTACTGATTTATCGAAGAGCTTATATGCGATGTGGGCGTGGTTATTGTACGATTTTAATTTTATTTAGCCATTTGATATGCTGTACCAAGGCCAAGAACCGTGCCAAGTTTGGAGAAAACTATTGCAGCAGTTACCGAGATATATGTACACATGTAATCATAACTGGGCGGCCCGTTTTCTAAAAATTTTTAATATTCTTATTTTTTGACTGAAAGTTATTGTTAATATAAATTTTTAGTGAATAGGCTTAAGTAGTTACTAAAATATCGCCGCTTTCGTATTTCTGAAAATTACCTTTATATGGGAGGTAGGCGTGATTATTGTCCGATTTTCAATACCATCCGTCCTGCACTGAAAAGAAATACACATACCGAGATTCGTTAAGATATCTCAATTTATACTCGAGTTGTCGTGTGGCACAGACGGACAGACGGACGGACTGACAGTCAGCGCTTAATCGAATACCTTCGTACAATATACACAATTATTGGTACAGAAATTTGTTCGGTAATTTACGCATGTGTTTTGTAAAATAAACGAAATATTTCACAAATTTCACTGACAAAAAAAAAATGCTTTACGAAACTCCTTTCATTATATTTACGAATGCTTCGTAAAATCTTGTTTCGTTGTTAAAAATGTGTTCGTATTATGAACGAAAGTTTCGTACGTTGTGCAAAAACCGAGACTACGAAAGTTTTTCGTAGCATTTTTACGAAATTTTATTTTAAGTGTAGCAGTTTGGGATATCGCTGGAACGTTGATCGCTCTTTATGTGGAAGTGCACTCTCCTACAACTCTCCATTTCTCGTACACCGACACGGACGCCATTTACCGCTGCCCGCCGTTTCTGATGGTGTTTTATTTTGTTGATGAATTGGCAGTGGTATTCCAATATGATCACAATATTATTTTTTTTTGTATACACTTGATTTTTATAAAATTAGTTTTTGCATTTGTAGTATAGGATTTTATTTTGTTACTTTGTTGTATGTATATCTATTTCCTTTCCTTTTTACTAATTACCTTAACACGTTTGATAGCAACTTTGTTGGAAACGGTCCTAACTAATTTTCTCTAAAGTTTGTAATTCATTGCTTGTTTTTGGTATCTTTTATCTTCAACTTATCTAACTATTTCTTAGCAATATTTTCGTCCTTTTCGACATTTGTTCTCCGATGCCCGCTTACTCTTTCGCGAGAAAGTTAAATTTATATTTTTCAATTACCCTTAAGTAGAGAGGCGGAGCTCTGAAAACTTCCACACATGTGTGTTTAAAATTCTCGTCAAGTTAATAAGTTTGGATGTTTATCAATTTGGAAACGGGTTTCAAAAAATAAAAAATAAAAACAACAAAGAAAAATAGAAAGGAAAAAAACATATTTTTGTATTATTCTAAAATGGTAAGGTTGGCAAAAAGTTTTTCTCTTTGTAAAAAAAAAGAAAAAATGTACTTGCGTGGCACTTTGCATGCACGTATATACAAATATAAACATACATACATACAGCATATGTGCGACCATATACCTAAGTAACACCAACAACTGCCTTTGCTGATTGACAGTTGTCTTTATGATTGTTTGTTTGCGCAATATTGCGGGTTAATTGAATGCATATCCACACGCATTTGACTTGATTTGACGGGACCATATTTATCGACTGCAAATGCGATACTGAATACCAGCGGGTGTGTATCGATGAGTGATTGACTCTATGTGGGCGTGTAGAACAGCGAAATTGGTACGCGTAAAATGTTTCTGCAGTTCCATCAGTAAAACAGCTCACGCGATGTGCGTGCTGAGACGTGTTGGCACAAGCATGAATTTCGCACACATGTACACAAGTATGTTTAAATCAATATCGTATTCGTATTTGGAAGTATAAACTTCTAAGTTATCTGTCTGTCATGTCTGTTGATTTGTTTGGATGGCGAATGGGGGTGGCGTTCAGATTT